TTACTAAGTCAACAAGGCAAAAGTTAATTTCAAACGCAAAATGGACCTATGTGTGTGTGTCTTCAATAGTTTATTGAAGACACACACACATAGGTCCATTTTGTGTTCCGATCTTATGCCATCTATGTAGTATACTTATATATATATAGTAAATACACCAACACTTCAGTGGTCAAATTGTTTGATATTGTCTTGCTCCAAGGCGATTCACATATAGACTTTTTGATCTAAGTGGTGAGTATTCCCTGTCATAAATTGTATATATCCTATATAATGCAATAGCTCACCCAATATAACTGGAAGTTGTTAGGAAGCCATTTCAGTCTTCAGTGGTAACGATTCATCCGCAGCCTTTTTTGTTTTGAAATTATCCATAGGCGACAAAGGGATAGTAAATATTTTTCAATAGATAACATAAAAAAAATTATAATAACACGCAAATTTTATGATGACTTTGTTATTTCATTTAATTTAACTAAGTCATTTCAGTCTTTCAAAAACCACTGCTTAAAATAGGCCTTTCTATAGAATGCCTCATAAAAGGAATATAGGAATATAGGCATATTTTTTTATGTGGTACAGCCATGCTGCAGCTATATTAATTGTATAGTTGTAGCATGAATGAGTCGGTTCGACCGGGGAAGGACCACACTCTCACAGAATACCAGTGTCAAATAGCAGCCTAATGCTGCTGTGTTTCATATGGTGAGTGTAGAGAACCGGAGACCCTTTTTACTGGAAAAGATGCATTCCATCTTAGTCCTCAAGGACCTCTGACAACACATCTGCATTTTGATTCGCAAACGAGGATAGATGTAGAAGTCTGTGGGCCACAGCAACCACTTACCATCAGGTGGACTGTGTGCTCATTGTCATCCTTTACCTATAAAAATAAATAAATAAATAAAATAGATGCCACACTTAGCAGGCGGGTTGCCAATCACAGTTTTTATTCCAATAATTATGAGAAAGATTTACGACAACCACAGGATGATACAAGGTAGTGGATATTCCTACACTTCCACAGCACATACTAAATTGTGCGAGAATTTTATTTTACACCAAGAAAGTACAAATGTAGTCATTGTCATCATCATCATTACAGCCCTTCACAAGTCCACTACTGAACATAGGCCTCCCCTAAGGAATGCCACAAAGCATGGTCCTGAGTGACCTGCATCACGACTTCCTGCATGTCTTACCAGGTCGTCACTCTATCCAGCAGAGGGTCGTCCTGCACTTCGCCTAACGGTATGAGGCTGCTACTCGAGAACCTTTTTTCCCCATCGGATGTCGGTTCTTTGAACTATATGGCCGGCCCATGGCCACTTCAGCTTACGAATCTGTTCAATGAATGTTGTCATTAAATTCCAATTAGGTACTGAACACTCAGTATCACCTACAATCATCATTTCGTAAAAGTCTACTGCTGGACATGAGCCTCCCCTATTTGTATGAAGAATTTGCCGCCTGAAGTGTTATGTTTGGCAAGTGGATTTATGATCAAAGTACCAGATATTTCACACATTTGATACTACTCCTTGTTACTGGTCTCAACCATATCACAAAGTGTTGTGGCATTTTCCATAGTCACTTCTTACAAGACCCATGGGATAAAAAGATGGGAGTAGATCCATCACCTAGGGGTGATGATTTACGATTACCAACCTAATATGAAAAAAGCATACTGAGGGTCAGACAATTGAACATATCTTAAGGCTACTATCCTAATTTAAGGTAAGATGTAGTCTTTATAAAGTGATATAATTATTACCTTTTAATTACATTTTCTTTTGCAAGAGGTTTAAATCTAAATTTGGAACATCTGCTTGTAATTGGTGGTATGATTCTAGACACATAATTGCAGATAAGACAAAACCGTGTAGTACGAGTTTCTCGTTCCATTGTACGCCGAAGCGCGGCCTGCGCAGCTGTGGTCATAGAATCTGCTTCATCCAGAATAACTAACTTGTATGGGGGACATGGTCTACCACTGTAAAAAATAAGCATATAAAATAAAAATTTATTTGATACTATTTATAAGCAATATTTATACATTTGATTGTTTATAATATCATTCTCAAAAACAGCTCTATTTTAATTAAATTTACAATATGGGTATTATCAGGCGAAAAATTAGTCTAGCTAGGTCTGATTACTGGAAAAATCCTTCTTCTCAGTGATCCCAAGTATAAAAAAATCAAAATTTGTAAAGTTCAACGGTTAAACTATAGACGTCCGGTACTACCGTACGCTGTTGGGAGGGGGAGGGGAGGGGAGGGGTCATGAGAAGCCCCTCCTACCCTTCCCCCGTTGCGGAAATGTATAGTTTATGAGTAATAATTTTTTTTTGTATAATTATAACCTCACTTTTATACAGGAATATTGACACAAAGTTACGTCTACAACGGCCGTACGGTGTTGGGAGGGGGGAGGGGAGTGGGAGGTCATGGGATGCCTCCCTACCCTGCCCCCGTTGCGGAAATGTATAGTTTATGTGTGTCCCTCCGTGCCTACGTGCCTACGGCTTTACAAAAACACTCTAGGTGTAGGGCAGACAAGACTATGTGGAGTCGGAGTGTGCTAATTCAGTTTTAGAACCGATTCAACCAATCTTATCTATAAAGTTGCCCTAAACTCTGCTATGATAGTGGTAAATTAAATAATGTAATGTAAATTGTTATAATTTCGTTTTCTGAAAAACCTCTTAACTGCTCTCCACTGTGACTCAATTTATTGTATAAAGTCCCATCTCCAGCCACAAATGGATTGTCTGGGTCTGAGTCATTAACTTTTATATGAGTGTATCTGTGTTAAAAAAGCAAATGGACATATTTGCATTTCGTTATTGCAATTTTTAGTGAAATTTATTTTTATCATAATTAATTCAAAAGGCATTTCTGAAATCCAAAAACAGTGTAAATGTTTCGAGCTTAATCCTGACAATACTGCTAAATTGAAAACAAAATTAAAAAATCAATTGCCGGACATCTACTTCATAATACAAGAACAAATTGACATATTTGCGTTTTGTTATTACACAATTTTTAGTGAATTTAGTTTTTATTGTAATTAATTTAAAACGCATTTCCGACATCTAAAAAACAGTGTAATAGGTTCAAGCTTAACCCTAACAAGCCTCCTAGACTAAAAACATTATCAAAATCAAGTACCGGATGTCTATAGCCAACCCCGCCGGAGGACTAAGACGGAATGCCTTTCACCATTAAATATAAATATCTGTTATTTTACATGTGTATTCAGTGTGAACTCAATCTTTTCCAGTCATGCAGAAGCAATTTTGCTGCTGCCATAATATGTCACAGCATGACTCTAACATCTACAACCCAGTTGAGATGTGTTCGCAGTTTCCACCTACTGCAATACAACATCTCCATTTCTCTGCTCTCGAGTATGGTTTGCATCTTTGTTACCTGTATGCATATCTTAATTTTCATCTTCTATTTGTTAAGTTTTTGAATTATTTTTGTCGTTATGTCACCCGCACCAAATGCAAACTTAACTAAGTTACAAAATGTGAACAGTAAATCTTACTTTTTTTTTTGTACATTATATATTTAAATACACATTGTCAATCAAAAATAAATTTATATAAGCAAAATAATTACTCTGGTCTTGTGTTGCTCACTGTAAGCTGAGCAAATGACTTGACTTTGTCTCTAATTACTTGTATCCCACGTTCATCAGAAGCATTAAGTTCAAGAACCCGATCTCGTGTTATATCTCCAAAGAGTTGTCTTGCAGCAGCAAGAATAGCACTCGTTTTACCAGTTCCTGGTGGACCATAGAATAATAAATGTGGTAAATCTCCTCCCGACAGACATTCTCTTAAAACTTGCACAACTTCACCCTGATCAACAATATCATCAATTGTTTTCGGTCGGCTGTAAATATAAACAGTTTTATTGTTAAATTGTATTGAACTGCCATAACGTACAAAATGGACTAGGAAAATACAAACTATTTTTCAACCCATGGTGCTGGTGGTTTCTTTTTGATTGTTTTTGTGCCAGAAGTAGATGGCTTGTCAGCAGCTGATAACTTTCCTGTTTTCAAAAACGCTTGCATATTTATACTTGTATAATTTATTTGGTATTTTAATAGGATTCGGCTTGTTCTTAGTATGAGTAAGAAATGTATAAATTATAAATATAATATGTTAAAGATAACTTGCAAGTTAACTATGTAATAAAATATAAGTCTCTGTTTGTCACTCTAGGCAAGTTAATTGGCATTAAAGAATTTAGAGCTTTTAAAATTGAAGTTAAGTTCAAAAAGTAGAAACAGTTCACAACACAATACAAAATTACAATTCAAAACGCGGTAAAAGCGAAATTATAGTAGAGTAGTAGAGATATTCACTTAACATCGATATATGGAATTTTTTCGATGTTTTCCGTCCGATATATCGGATTGATTCGATGTTTTGACAAATATTTATTCTATTCGATGTATCGATATATTTATTTATAGAAACATCGAATATTTGCTTTTTTATTTTTTAGTCGAATCTATTAAAAATTAAACGTGATAAAATCCGTAAAACTATTTCTAAATTGAAGTCATTAAGAAATATTGAAATTATAATTATGGTTCATTAAGATAGTGACATTTGTGAGGGACCAGCTTAATTACCTAATCTATCCTGACAGATCGATCGACCATTCACTCTCAATGTTTGTATGTAATGTATGATGACAATGTATTATAGTCTGTGGATTCTATAGATTCATTGTATTTACTTTAACTCAATCTCACTCTTCTTGCGTCGTCTTCTGCTGTTTGGCGGTAACGGAATTTTACTTGCTACTACAATTAATTAAGATGTAACATAACGATCTTTTATGTTTATGTTTAAAGACATTTATTCTCATAAAGACATTTTATACGCCACTTACATGAGAACATAAATAAAAGTAAATCTAAATAACCAAATTCATTGTCGTACCTATGTTGTTGAAAAATAAATAACATCAAAATCAGCTATTGACGGGAAAAATCTATACAAATAAAAGAAAAGTTAAATTCTAGTATACACTCTCACCTTAGCACCACAATACTAAGACCAGGAACAAACCAGTCCAACGCACTCAGATAGATACGTTTGTGATTATATGATTTGCTAATCGCTTTTTGAATACATTGAACGAATTTTTATTTCCGAGGGTATCTTATTAAAAAGGCGCGAACCTTCGCATGTAATTGTGGTCTGGCCGTACTTTGTTCGAGTTTTAGGCAAAACAATGAAGCTTGCGCGTCGAGTGCAGATGCGCCCAACTTTTTTTCGCTTTGTGAATTGCAGATCCGTGCAGACCTTCTCGTTCACGGATTTGCGAATAAAGATACATGTACTGTAAATGTATAATTGTTTGATATTCATCAGATTCGTCTCTCGGAAAATTTTTGAAGTTGACGTTCGGAAATTGTAGTTGAATACCATTTTTATGATTTTATTTTGTAGGATTTGTAATTTGTTTAATCTAGTACTGGCAGCGCTTCCCCAGACCTCGATGAGATATAACAGGTGTGGTTTGACTAGGGCATTATATATTGTGAAACGTAGTTTCTGTGGTATGTATCGAAAATTAATCCGAAGTAAGGCGTGAAGTGACATTAATTTGGTTATTAAATATTTAATGTGAAATTTTCATGTTAAATAGGTATCCAAATGAAGGCCAATATATTTTTCATTAGTTTCTTCTTGCAATGGTTTATTGTTTATTTTAAGAGGTGTGGCCGTGGAAGGAAAAGGGGAGATCTCCCGCCGGGCAAGGTGTTCTGCCCGGGGAGCGGCCAGCACTCCATGTGATAATTCGGAGATGTTCTATATATACTGTTTATGATTCGGAATGTTGATAGCGTGATTTAGACTTCGGTGTATTTCGATTGTGGCGGCGACGGCAGCGCCGCTACATCACCCCCTGCTCAGACCGGAGGTCGTTAGTGCAGCCTTGTTGCCGACGAATGTGCAAGTGCCAGTGGATTGCCTTGTAGTCTGCGGTGAGTCGAGAAGAAGGCAAGTAATCTGCGAGAGTGCCGTGAAGCAGAGGCGAGCAGTAAGGCTCAGAGCCGTGCCGAACACTGTATGGCGCAGAGAGTAGCTTGAAGGAACAGGAAGCATTATTATTCCAGTGCTGCGATGAACCTTGTGAAGCTAGATGGCTTGCAGGATATGAAGACTGCAGACGATATCTACTCGGGAGCGAATGGGTGGGGTATTCTATGACGTTGATGAAGCTTGAAGTTTCCGAAGGTTGTTGGTTGCGTGTTCAGATCACGTCGGGGTCACCACTGTGGCCGTGGAAGGAAAAGGGGAGATCTCCCGCCGGGCAAGGTGTTCTGCCCGGGGAGCGGCCAGCACTCCATGTGATAGTTCGGAGATGTTCTATATATACTGTTTATGATTCGGAATGTTGATAGCGTGATTTAGACTTCGGTGTATTTCGATTGTGGCGGCGACGGCAGCGCCGCTACAGAGGTGAGAAATTAGGTATAGGTTTATTTTTTGCTTTAAATATTATGTAGCTAGTTTTGGAAATGTTGATAGTTAGTAAATTGTATTGTAACTAATCGCGAAGAATGTCAAGGTCCTGCTGGGCTTGAGAGACAAGATCATGAATTGAAGAACCAAAGTAAAAAAGACAAGTGTCATCGGCGTAAAGTGTGATATTGCCATTCAAGCCCAACTCATGCATATTGTTAATATAGACTAAAAAGAGCAGAGGACCCAATATTGAACCTTGTGGAACTCCATAGGTTATGGGTTGTGGGGGACTTTGAGTGCTACTGTCTATTTTAACGACCTGGGATCTATTCGTGAGGTAAGACTCAAACACTTTTAAGGCTATGCCAGTAATACCAATGACTTCCAGTTTTTTTTAAGAGCAGTTTATGACTTACGGTGTCAAACGCCTTTTTTAAGTCGATGTAATAATAATATAATACTCCTAGTACGATGTTTTTCTTATCAATGTTTTGTTTGATTTTAGTTACCAGATCAATTGTAGCTCTGAGTGTATTACTTTTAGAACGAAATCCGTACTGTCTATCAAAAAAGAAATCTATAGAATCTAAGTAGTTTCGTAGCCGTGTATGTAAGACTTTTTCGAGAATTTTTGATAATACTGGCAGTACGGAAGTTGGTCGATAGTTGTCCGGTTCTGTTTTTGGTCCCGATTTGTAAATAGGTGTTACTTTGGCTATTTTAAGTGAGTCTGGAAATGATCCGTTTTGTAAAAGTTTGTTAAAGTTTTTCGTTAATGAATTTATTATTAAGTCCTTCACACACTTGATAACTTTTGTACTAATACCATCTAGACCGACACTACTGTTTGAATCAAGTTTGTTAATAATATTAAGGATTTCTTCTTCAGTACATGGGTCTAAACTATTCATTTGCAAATTTTGTAAAAGTGGTGTTGGTAGTGCGTGAATATAATTTACATGGAACTGAATAGGTATTTCGTCAGCTAAATATGGCCCTATAGTAGCGAAAAAGTTATTATATATATTGCATATCTGATGAGGATCAGTAACTTCCATTGAATTAACAATACGTTTGGGAGGAGCGCATCTTTGTTTAAATTTATTATTTGTAAGGGTATTGAGTAAATTCCATAGCTTTTTGGTCTTTCCACTGTATTTGTCGAATTCCTTCTTATAATATGACTTCTTTGTTTCCCGTATCAACTTGATTATTTTATGTCTTTTGGTGATAAACTTTTCTCTCAGGTCTTCTCTTTCTGGGTTGTTCTGTAGTTCTGTCCACATCAAGTTTCTTTCATTGATCTCTGTTATGATACTTTTGTTTATCCATTCTTTTTGTGGTTCATTCATAATTTTGGTCTTTATTACTTTGCTTTCTTCCATATATTTTTTTATTAGTTTTTCCAGTCTTGTGAAGTCATCGTTGGATTCTTGTATTCCTGCTTTCTCCATTGATTTATGAAGTTCCTTATAATTTATTGCTTCGTATTGATAATATTTTCTTGGAGGCGGTTTTGTTTTCTTGATTTACACGTAAAGCTGTCTATGATCAGAAAAAGATGAGTTGACATATACCATATGAAAGTTTTCTTCCTTTAAGTTGGTGCTTACATGATCTAGGATAGACTTTTTTGTATGTACTTGTCTGGTATAATATTTTTTTGTGATTTTATTTATGATCTTGTATCCAGTCTGTTTTAGCAGATGACTGTATCTTTTGGTCTCTGAATTTTTTGTGAGTAAATCAACGTTAAAGTCACCAAAAACTATTGCTCTGCTTCTTTCTTGTAATTGTGATTCGTATACTTCGAGAAATGGCTTGAAATTAGTGTGTCCAGGATTATATACCACTCCTATTTCAAGTACATATTTTTGTAGTTTTATCCACAGATATTTATTGCCTCCTACATATTTTGACTCTGATAAACTGTGCTTCAGGTTATTATGGACATAAGCAGATACCCCTCCTCCACCAGCATCTGTTCTGTTGTTATAATAATGAAAGTAATTCGGTAGTTGAAGTTGTAATGCTTGTTCCTCGTTGCGAATCCAAGTTTCAGTTATCAGTATGATGTGCACATTATTTGGTATTGCTTGTAATACACACTTGAGTTCATCGAGTTTTCCCACTTTACGTATACTTCGAGCGTTGAGGTAGAGAAAGGTAAAGAGTGACTTGTTGATTGTAAAATTTTGGTAACTGTTTAATATTTCATTAGTGTTGTTTTTGATAGAAATGTTTATTTCTGTGTTTACTGTGTGGAGGTTTTTGATGTTTTTATGATTAACGGTGTTCCATTAACATATTTAATTGTAAGGTTAGTCTCACCATTATCTTGTCGTCGCTTTGACTCTTCTCTTAATTTTCTCATAAAGTTTTTTGAGTTGGTGTTTGGTCTGAGAACATTTTTAGACCATCTTGTAGCTTACTTCTGTTGCAGTGTAGTTTTTTGGCAGGTTCTATTGTTTCGAAGCACACCTTGATACTGCGGTTCTTGCCTGGTTGGAGTTTGCCGATCCTAAAAACTTTGGTCGGCTTTGTAATGCCTGCACTCACCGAGGATATAGTTTTGAATACCTCAGCTTCGTCTTTTGACAATCTGTCTTCAGGAGTAGACGCAATTTGTTCAGGTAAGCTGACAAGCACGATATTTTTTTCTCTATTTTTGCGTTGCTGAATCTTTTGTATAATTTGTTCGCCGAGTATCAACTCGCTTTCCAGAGTTATTGGTGCAGATTTTGAGGAAATTTTGAGCTTGTTTAAGTCTGATTCAAGTGATTCCATTTTTACTTGCATTGCGCTATGAGATCGCTCGTTTGTCAATTTAATATCAGTGATTTGGTTTTTTATATCAGTAATGTTTTCTTGCATGGTTTTTAAAATCAGCTCATTAGACACGATGCATTTTTCTATTAGAGAACTGATACGACTTAGTTCAGATCTCATTCCCCCCTAATTCTTCAGAGCATGCACACTCGACACCAAAAGGCAATTTTCGTTTCCGAAATGTAATTGATGAATCCGACACTAAATCACTCATTTTAGATATATCTGGTTGCAACCCTCCAGTTGGTGACCTCTGAACGCTCACATTGCTTGCGTTACCTCAACCGACACACCGATGCTACGTATTGAGTAAGCGAGTTAAAAAATAGCAACCGTACGTGTTTCGCGGGGGTGAAGACGGCTCACGGTTATAGTAGCGGGGGTCCTCTTTGTTGATGCACAGGAGCGTAATGCCACATTAAACAAACAACTTTCACACAATTAAACGTTTTAAGTCTTCTTAGTTAAGGATGGAATTAGACTTGCACTGATTTAGAAAATATTTATAATTTACTTGTACACGTCTACTCAGTACGACAACGAACAACAAAAATTTATATTATAATACATTTCATAATAACAAATACATTTCCTTTTTTGTACTTACAAATGCTCAGTAAATAAATCTAATATACATTATAATGAAGTAAATAGTTATTTGATAGTTTATGTAGCACTACTTAAGTGTATCGCATCAAATCATTTCTTTGGTATATTTTTCATTTAGTTTTTAAACTTGTAAACAAATTAACTCAATAGTGACGAGACAAAATAAAATAATAGAGAAAAATAAACATTAATTGATTTGTTCCTTTTTAGTTAATTACAAGATTTTATATACTTGGTGGAGCCATGCTGCAGTTATATTAGTAGTATAGTTGTAGCACGAATGGGTTGGTTCGGCCGGGGAAGAACCATACGAAACACAGTAGCTTAATGCTACTGTGTTTCGTATGGTTAGTGTAGAGAACCGGCGACCCTTTTTACTGAAAACGAGGCGTTCCATCTTGGTCCTAATGGGTGACAACGCATCTGCACTTTTATTCGTAATCGAAGCTAGATGTAGATGTCTATGGGCAACAGCAACCACTTACCATCATGTGGACTGTGTGCTCGTTTGTCACCCTATCCTATAAAAAAATATGTCACTTCCAAAGAAAAGTCATGTATGGAAGGTTTTTCGAAAATCGAGGAAAATGCAAAATTTGCCAAAAAAAAATTAAATCTTGCAATGCATCAAACCTGCTTAGCCACGTAAAAATATCCATAAGGCTACCTTTTTGGATATGAATAAACAAAATATGCTGCTATGTTTTTTCTGGTCTCTAATTCTTTACTCACATATACAAAATCAAGGACCACAAACTTTGCGCGTTTCACTGGAAAAGGGTTTTATTAAACTTTTGTGGAAAGTATTCGATAGTAAAAAATATCGATGTTTTCTAGCGATATATTGATAAACATCGATGATGCATCCGATGTCTTACATGGAATATAAATATCGATAAGCTTTTTAAGTGAACACCCCTAAATAATAATAGATGATAGCTATGGAGCATCTTATTGTGGGTATGGAGTGTAGAAGTTTTTGCGCTAGTGTGTATAACTTATAAGGAGTACAGACTGTGTATTAAAAAGTGTCCATAAAAACCTTTAAATAAGGTGGCGCCACTAGCTATATAGCGGCGCTGGGAAATCTTCTCTGATAAAAAAAAACAATAAATTAAAGGAAGGAGCTTACAATAAATGTAAATATAATGAAATCTCGATAACTCGGAACTTCGTTGAGTTATTATACGGCCGACGTATATTGGCTTGTCCGACATTCGCGCAGCAGTATGGAGTGTAGAAGTAAGGAGTACAGACTGTATATTAAAAAGTGTCCATAGAAAACCCGTTAAATAAGGGTGGCGCCGCTACGTATACGCTATATCTACGGGCTAAATTTTAAGCAGCTACTAGCAGTTTAGCAGCACATTCAAGCTAAGTTCACTTCATCCCAGTAGCTACTCCAGCGCTGTTGTGGAGAGTTTTTGAACTGTTATTTACTGCTTACAGATGACCACTTTTTCAACTATTCTACTATGGGAGTTGGTACTCCTTACTTTTAAACTCCATACATGGAGGTTAAAGAACATGAGAACGATCGCTACGAGCTAAAGCATGGCCCTGAAAATTTATAGAATTTATAGCCGCGCTGCCGACGGTAAGTAGTATCTGCGAAGTAAATTTTTAATTATTGACAAAATGAAACATTAAAAATGATGAAATAATATAAAAATAATAAATCAATAATAGTTAATAATTTGTATTTGCAATAATTTATAATATTTATAATACTGTTACGAGCTTGAGGTTCGTGACAATAAAAACTGCCGATTGAATTACCAAAATTTACACTTTTACTACTGAACACCAATTAAAACTTAAAGAACACTAATAATTAATTACACTGATTCATTTTACTTCGCTCCGAAGCTTCGCTTGTCTCGCCAAATTCAATACTGCCACGATCACAGCTTGCAGCGGCTTTCAGTACACCTTTTCACGCGAAACATCCAGAATGTTCTAGCAAATACGGGCGCCGACCGACCAGGCGCAGAAGGTTCGAGTGTGGGGCCTTCTAAAAAGCTTAGTTCTTTTGTTCGATACTAGATGGCGCTGTTAGTAAAAAGTTCAGGAATGGCATTTTCTAGAAGGCCCTCCTCGCTCTGTTCCCCGACACTAGATGGCGCTAGTTCCAGGTACCAGACGTTAACTTAGGCACGCAACACTGCCCCCTCCTAAGACATGCTCGTCCCGAGCGTTATCGGTCCCATAATAACGCGCCAGTCGATCCACATGGACGATCTTAGGAGTACCTCTTGCGCCTTTCTGCCGGTAGGTTATGTCGTTGATCCTGGTCACAATCCGGTAAGGGCCGTCCCATTTAGCTTGAAGCTTAGGAGATTTCCCTTTGCTGCGGACTAGATTGTGCAACCACACTAGTGAACCTTTGTCGAACCCTTTGTTGTTAATTTTGCGGTCATACCGGGTTTTCATCTTTTCAGACATTTGCTGGCCCGATTGTCTGACGTGCTCATAAATGTCATTCATTTTGTTCCACAAGCCATTTGCGTAATCGGTTATACTGCGTGGGGCATCAGGTGGTATCCCAGTGATCAGGTCTGCAGGCGGCTATAATTCTCTTCCAAAGTTTGCGAAAGCTAGTGTCACTGATGTATGAGTGTATGAGACCTTGAGAAGTCGTCCTTGTTTTATAAGTACCCATAACTCGGCAAGTTTCCTGGAATATTTAAGACTCAAAATTCCTTCCTTGATCGCTGTGAATCTCTAAAGGTACTCCAAAACGACAGAAGACTTCATGAGCTAGTTTATCTGCAACTGTTGAAGCTTCTTGATTTGGAATGGCGAAGACTTCTGGCCACTTAGTGAAGTAATCCATCACAACCATGAAATACTTGTTACCGCTTTCACTCTCCGGAAAGGCCCCGCCACGTCAATGGCTATTCTCTCCCATGGTGCACCAACATTGTACAACTTTAATGCACCACTACTACGAGTCTGAGGTCCCTTTACAGCCACACAACTTGTACATTTGTGACACCAGTCCTCGACATCGTTTCGACAGTGAACCAAGCAAAACCGTTCTCGGATCTTCAGTAGAGTTCGTTTAACTGCCAAATGGCCTCCTGAACAATCATTTTGGTACAGCTGTAGAACATCCGGTACTTTAGCTTTTGGGACAACCATTTGCAAATGACAGCTGTCTCCCCGAACATTTTCCCATTTACGGCACAGATCTCCATCCTGAAGTAGTAAGCTGTCCCATTCGGCCCAATAGCTTTTAGTGGTCGAACTCATCGCTGAGACGTCGCTCCACTTGGGCTTGGTAGCACGGGCTTTCATCAATTCCAGAATCGGCTTAATGTCCGGATCTTCCTGCTGTGCATGTTGTAAGCTGTCCTTCCACTCGTTGCTGAGGAGGTCTGTCCTAGGCATCCTCACGGATACCACTTCCTTACCTTCTTGCCTAGTACTGTTCTCGCAATCATCAGGATAAGGTCTTCTTGACAATGCATCTGTGTTGCCTCGCCATTTCCCGCTGCAGTGTCCGATAGTAAAGTCGTATTCCTGCTGCTGCTGGGCGGTGCTGTAAGCCGCACTACCCTTTCGAGATCGATCACCTTCCCTTTTTACAGATCGCTTAGGGCAGCTGTGTCGAAGATGGCCCCTTTCCCCACAGCCTTAGCACCTAGGGCTGTAACTTTTATTTTGGTCACGAACTGTAGGTGCTGCAACCTCCCTAACGTGAGGAGAACGATGATGCTGCCGCTGCTGGGCGGTGCCGTTAGCCGCACTACCCTTTCGAGATCGATCAACTTCTCATTCTAAGGTTCGCTTAGGGCAGCTGGATCGAACATTTGCCCACAGCCATAGCACTCAGAGCTGTATACATTATTGCGGTCGCGAACTGTAGCTGCTGCAACCTCCCTGATGCAATGGGAACGATGATTCTGCAGCACGCCTTCAACCTCCAGTGCATGGGCCAAGGCTTCCTTGAGCACCACGTGGTGCCCGAGTCTCACAGCAGCTCTGACTTCCAGTTCGCGGATGCTGTCGATGAATGTCTGCACCAGGTTCCCTTCAATGAGCGCAGGTACAGACCGGTATGCTTTTCGCACCAGCTTTTCCACCTCAAGAGCCCACTGCTGCAGGTTTTCGTCAAGGCGTTGCAAGCGATCTTTAAGCAGCGCACGAAAGACGTGTTCCAGGTGAGCGTCGCCATATCTCGCCTCCGATGCTTCAAGGAGCTGCTCGTAGGTCACTTTTTTACCGAGAGCTTCCAACACAGTTAAAGCTTGGTCGCGCAGGCCTAGGGTGAGTGCAGTCATGGCCTGACTTTTACTCCAGCCATTCGACTCCATGACAGCCTCGAATTGGAATTTGTAGGCTGA